AAATAAATTCAAGGCATTACCCAAAGTTCGTATCATTCAAACTTAGGCTTAATGTGAAAACAATCATAAAAACTGTAACTCCCATTTTAAATACAAGACTGACACAAATGAAATATGGTGCTCTCCCTATGCCTCCCTAAAGGAAAGAAGGAGCAAAGCCTAGTTAGTAGTATTTAGCCCAGAATCATTAGTGTAATGTATTGCAGTTTAACTGGGCCATTGTGCTGCATGAACTCAAACGCAGCATCTACCTAGCAAAAACACAAGTTTGGCTAGTATTCATCCAAAGGCAAGAAGAATTAAACTGTCAAAAAAACAATTTAGAAATATTACTAAATCCAATCCATAAAGAAGGGGGTAAGAATCACCATGACACTCCTTTGTTTGAGGGAAATAATTTTTATCTTTATGTAAAGTTGATGTCTTAGAGTTAAAATGGAATCAAACAGTCAGCAGGAAGAAATTCCAGTAAGATATTAAGTCAGGCTAATACACAAGAACAAACTGCTTTTCTTTTAATCTGGAAGCTAAGAGACTTGGAACCACATTTTGTGTATCTCAGTAAGGTCATGGGTCCAATATCTCCTTGAAATAAATCAGCTGCATTAGAATCAGTGACTCCTTGTTGATGGAAGGGGTTTGCCTGTTGTTTTGTTTTTTTATCTTTTATTTTGTTTTTGCTTCAAGACAATGGCCCATTCAGAACTTTCTGGAAATAGGTATTTTTATAGTGTTGAAACTTTATATATAGATGAGACGTTATCTCTTCAAAGCACTAAAAGTTTTCTTTCCTTAATAAAGTTAAAATATTTTTACTGTAAAAACTGAAAAATATAGAAAAATATATAATTGTTTTATTATACGGTTTTATATATTTTCCAGAATATTAAAATCACTCATAACCCCACTATTCAGAAATTATTATTCTTAACATCTTGGTATGTTTTCTTGAGTTCAGGTTTATACTTGTCATCTTGTTTTTATATATATTATGTTATTAGCTTTGTCTTGGGTTACTCTTCGTGTTTAGAAACACTTTAAATAGCAGTAGTGATAGGGTATTATCATTTACTTGGATTGCCAAGATGACCAAACTTTTTCTTAATTTAAAATGGAACTACTAATAGAATGTACTACACAGTCCTCTGCTTTCTTCCACTGAGCACAGGGAACATAATTAGCTCTTTTTAAGGAGCCTTGAGAACATAGTGTGAGGCCTCACTTTCCTCACCTACAAGATGGGGACAATTACATCTATGTCATGGTGAGGATTCAGTGAATTGAGGGATGTAAGTATATATCAAACCATCTAGCACAAGAAGCTTTTGAGAAATGTCAGTTCCCCTTTTTCCTGTTACTCCACTTAAACATTATCTGTTTTCTTCTCACAGATAATGTTAAGAAATGATAAGTGCCCTGCCCAAAGTCAGATCACACTTATTTTACTGAGCGGGAATACAGTCTGGATCACAGGGTTTACCTGGCTAGAAAGGACTAACTCTCTCCTCACTAAATGGCTCCAGGTTCCAGGACTTCTAAAACTCCCCTCCCTCCCTCTCTTTTTCCCCACACTCTTCCCCAGCTATCAGGAAGTCAGCAGCAACCTCCCACTCCTGCCAGTGTACCTGTTTATTTTCCTTTCTAGGATTCTGCAGCTTCTGGAGGCTGAGAAACTTGTTCACCAAGTTTGCTGTGACTGTGTGTAAACTACAAGTCAGTAGTTCGTGTGTCAGCCGGAACAGTTTTCTTTAATATGAGGTGCAAAAATGTTATGGCCAGGTGTGGTAGCTCACGCCTGTAATTCCAGCACCTTGGGAGGCCTGGGCAGGAGGATCATTTGAGCTCAGGAGTTCCAGATCATCCTGGGCAACATAGGGAAAACTTTAGGAGGCCCAGGCGGGAGGATCACTGGAGCTCAGGAGTTCGAGACCAGCCTGGGCAACATAGGGAGACTCTTTCGCTACAAAAAATACAAAAAAAGAAAAAAGAAAAAGAAAAGAAAAGAAAAAGAAAAAGAAAAAGAAAAAGAAAAGAAAATTAGCCAGGCATGATGGCGCTTGCCTGCAGTCCTAGCTCCTCTGGAGACTGAGGCAGGAGTATCACTTGAGCCCAGGAGGTGGAGGATGCAATGAGCTATGATCTTGCTACTGCACTCCAGCCTGACTGATAAAGCAAGACCTTTTCTCAAAAAAAAAAAAAATTATAACTTTGTAAAATTTATCTTGCTCCTCGACGTGTGTATGCGTGTGTGCGTGTGTGTGTGTGTGTGTGAGAGAGAGAGAGAGAGAGATTTCCTGGTAGGAAAGGTCCTTAGCTAGCTGAATTTTCTAGCAGCTGAGGTGTCTCTCTGGCCTTTCCATCTCTTCAAATTCCTCTGTTGCCTATGTCCAAAATTCAGTATTATAAACCTATTTCTAATCCAAATGGACGGCCTTTGTTTTACTTTTCCAATAGAGATGAAAGGTACTAAAACAACACATTTTAAACTCCTTAGATAAGCCAGTCTGTTTTATTACAATATATTTCTACTTGCTTTGTGTTAATAAAAATGAATTTCCAGAAATGTCACTAACAGTTTTTCTTTACTTAACACATAGCAAGTTTTGTCTTCATGGTGCATGTGTACCAGCTTTAACGGCTACGTTTATAAGTTCGCCAGGGCCGGAAGACATTTCTAGAACCCCATATGTTTCCATATCCCATAATATTCATTACGCCACCAAGAGAAAAGAATGGTGCATGGATTTCTTGACTTCCCTGTGAGAATTAAATATTTTTAAAGCTTTTAGAACAGTGCTTGGCACACAGTAAGCTCCATGCTTGATAAATTAAAATTAAATCACCTGTACATGCTGTCCCCATAACCACAGCTTAGAACACACTTCCCAAGGGTTTGTGACCACAAAAGCCAATCCTGTCAGAGCCTACTTGACCCCAGAGAAACCAATGTCTTTAATGAGGTTGAAGCACAAGAAACTGCCATTTTTGTTGGTCAATTTCAGTTGAATGTTGGCTATTTCATTTGATGGAATGTAACAGGAATTCAGTGTGCCCCAGCTTTATAACCATTATACCATGATTCGTCCCATTCCTGACTGGAATAATGGGGCTGAGGGGCATGGCGGACCGGCTTGGGGCCCAGCCACCTGTCTACACAGGAAAACCGCCTCCCTCCACTCGAGCAGGTCCAGGGATCAGGCCACAGGACCGGGGCTGCGGCCTGGGGCTGGCTCTGGGTGTCTGCACGCACCTGAAAAGGGGCCCAAGTTGCAGCAGGTGCAGCAGCAGTACGAGCGGGCGGTCGCGGCTGAGGTCGCGGTGTACGAAGAGAAGCGTGAGCTGCACGAGCGCGCAAGGCAGTAGCGAGAAAAGCAACGTCAGCGCCTGCCACATGCGGTCCCCGCCCGAGCGGTAGGTGCTGCTCAGGCTGAGAGCCGCCGTTGTCTCGGCCACGAACAGGAACACGGACGCCAGCACCGAGGCCGGGAATTTCATCTCCGCGCGTCAGCGGCTCTCACCGGGGACGGACGCAGTGGCGGTGGCTGTGTGGCTGTGGCTGTGGCGGCGGCGGCGGCCGTTGCTCGAGGGGCTCCCAGCATGCCCAGCCCCAAACTGCTCCCGCGCTCTGCGCAGCCCGCCGAGGGCACGCGGGCCCGGCCGACCGGCCTGGGCTCTGGAGCTGGACCTGGGGGGGGCGGCCGACCTGGCTGGGGTGGGGTGGGGTGGGGCGAGCGGCGCAGCCTCGCCGGGACACGCCCACGCGCTCCGTGCGCCGCCCGCTCGCTCGCTCGCCAGTGCCGGCTGCGTCTCTGTGGTGACCTTCCCCTGGCGGGCCGCGAACCCGCGTCGTGAGACGGCTCAGGCAGTGGCGCGGGAGCTCAAAAGGATATAGTTGGCCCTGCGGGCGTCGCGCGCAGCCTCTGGGTCCTAGAGTCCCTTGGGTCCTATCTTGGGAAACTGTTCACATCCCTTTGAAAAACTGCGACCACCCAGGCCCAGAATTGGAGTCCCGACGCCTTTCTAGCCCAGTCTATTTTCTTGGCCGAGGAAACGCGTGATTCTTCAAAGGGCCAGCGTTTCCGGTCTTTTAAAAATAACCAGACCACACATAGGCTTTTCAAAGTGCAAGAATATTGTCATGCATCCACCACCAAGTGGGAAAAGATTTCACTTTTCACTGTGCCATGTGAGCATGTCCCTTTGTCTTCCAAATACAGTGGTCTGAAGCATTGCTTCCAGTGGTGAAAAAGCGTCAAAGATCGTCCCTAAGAACCAATCTTTACCTCCCAGAAAAACTGACTACAAAGTGTATTCCTCTATAACTGTAAGTAATTCAGGGCAAAGATCAGGGCCTAATAAGGAAGCAGTTTTTTTATTCCAAGGCAGACCTCTGCTTATTGGTGTGCCAGCACCAAGACTAACAAAACTCCTTTTAGCCCATTGAACTTTCCACTATCTTCTTGATATCAGGATGTACTCAGCCCACCCCCGTCCCTCAGACCTCGATAAGCCACTAAATCTCTCTAAAACTCAGGTTCCATAAAGGGATGAGACTTAAATAATTATAAGATCTCTTCCCTTGTTGAAATTGGGGGATTTCAATCTTCAGACATCTCTGGCATTTTTCTATTTAAGAAAATAATGTAAACACAAATAGAATGTCAAGATTCAAAAGGAATCAAAACAAAAAAAAGGTACAGGGAGAGAATGTGGTGGGCTGTTTTTCTGTTTTTTATGTGGCATGAGAAAATCCATTTATGAGTTAAAGGACAGATTCAGCCAGCAGCTGAGAGGTAGCAGGCCCTTTCCCTAAAAGGATTACTAATGTCTATTTATAGAACACAGAAGGCCACCATGTCCTGGGCCAAGATACATACACTGCCACAAATACAGAATCAGCAGCAACACTCCACAGAGTATTTGTGTAATGTTTTACTTGACATCATGGTTAGGTTTAAAGAAAAAATTGGTAGCTTAGAATTATTAATCAGTACACTGAGTATTTAGCATTAGATTTTATTTTAAGGCAAAGGATTATCACAGGTTTTACATTAAGTGTACTGTACATAAATGTATTGTAAGGAGGGGCAATAAGCCAATAAATAACATTGCTTTAAACACTATAAAGTCCAGTTTATAGCGAATTATTTTCTACAGTACAAAACGAATACAGAAAACACATTTGGAAAGATCACAGTGTTTAGAACATTGTAGCAGCAGTTGTAAAAACCATAAGGTGCATCGCTAAGCTTCTGACTCTATCTTGCTTATAAAGAGATTTCACTATACCATGCAGTGGGCTGTGAGCAAACTCCCACGTGAAAAGGAAGCAATATCAACTGACTAGTACTATCCCCTCCAGAAACAATCAATAACAAAAGCTAAATTCTGATGAGCATTTGCAAGTTGATCCTTCTTAGTCTGCACACTTGCTCACTCAGTCTGCACACCAGCTAACTTGCTCCAGTGATCAACGTCTTTCTGTATTATCATTTGCCATTTTGTCCTTGAGAATAATATATACCTTATAGATTATGATTGCTAGTTTCCCTGTCAGACACCTCAGTGGGTTTTGACTAAAGATTAATGTCATGTATTGCATTATACTTTTTCACTAGGACCAAAATACCCATTATTTTTTAAAATATTATGTACATAATAATAGACTTATAGAAAGTGATGTTTTGGTGTATTAATAGGTAACATACTAGAATACTTGAGAATTTGGCTTTATTATAAAATACAGTAGTATGACATTTTGTGATATAGTAAAATATGTGGCAAAATATTCTACTCTAAATTTAGACCTAATTGCTGCAGATGTCTTTGAAAGAGCTTCGAAGTGCCCCTAAGGAAATATAATGATTAGCAAGAGGTCATATAACCTGTTATGGCAAAAAGACATTTTTTAAAAGGCTTTCATTTTGTGTCCGAGTCTTCCAAAATTCTACTTGTGTACAACAGATAACTGCTGTTTGATTTAGTGTTAACAGAAATTAGTAGGATTTTAAAGTAGTAACAACCAATCACTAATATTTGGTAATTTTTAAATAATTTTATGCTTTTAACTCTGCATTTGTGCCAAGGCAAATATATTGCAAAGAGTACAATTTTATTAATAATACTAATTATTTGATCAGTTCCTCAAAATTCAATAGTGCTTTAAATAATAGTAGTTATTCATTCCTAGATACAATTTGAAACAAGCAGTTATACTATATTGACAGAGTATTTCTTTGTACCTCCCCATAAGTAAGAAATTGCCCTAATGTGCTGTTTGTGAAATGTATCATTAGGAAGGTGAGCTTTGTTTTTCTCAATGATTACAGTTATATTTCTGTTAAGTATTGTGAATTATGCCAAAAAAGCTTTTTGGAGCAGTAAATTCTATTCGCTGGGAAATACACATTCCAAAACTAACACGTGGTGCTTGACCCAGTATATATTCCCCAGTATATGGCTTTGCAAAGTGCTCCCCCTAATAATTTGATTCTACAAAATCCATTTTTAAATGTTTGTTAACTTAGAGCCATTGGATTAAAGATATTAAAACTCAGACTTCCACGAAGAGTTCCCCCAGATGTTCAAAGTTGAGAAAGCTGTACCTTTTTAAAGATTGGGCTGTCCTTCCTTATCAGATTCTAAAACCAAACTTTTGCACTTAGAATATTTAATTTCTACTGCTGAAGAGTCTATATGCAACTCATGTTACCTTTGGCATTTTCAAGAACATAGGGATTCCACTGCTGCTACAGTATTCAAAAGACATCTTTAATATTGAAATAGCAAAGTCCTAAAACACAAAGACAAAACTGATTATCTAAATCAATCCACATGTTCGAATATATCCACATAGAAGGGTTACCACATTCAACATGAACCAAATTCAGCAGCAGAATTAATTATATTGGTAACTGCCACTTAAGCATAGATTTTAAAACGAAATTTATGGGGACAACATCAGAGACCCCACTAAAACCAAGTTGCAAAAAGATCACTTGTTAAAGATTGACAGTAGTCAATTATAGTCTGTATCTTTAAAACTGACTGCTATGTCACAGCTACTTCATACATATTACTAGAACAGTACACATTAAAGCATGTACATTAACACCACACGCAAAATATAAAAATAAAACATCAGCAAGAATTGCATTGCTCTACTTAAGAAACTGTATGTATTTGGTGTTTACACATATACACGTTCAGATGTCCCCCACCACACCCCCACATCTTTTTAGAGTGTTCACCATTTCTGAAAGAATAAGAGGAAGGTATATACTTTGGTACTTTCTGAAGATCTATGTCCAAGCGCAAGACTTTAAAGCCATCTGTTGGTTTCAATTTAGGAGGTGGTTGTTCTAGAACAAAAGAGATATTGTTCTCAGGTGATTCTGAATACAATGATAAATAGAAATTTATCCTTGTATTCACTTCCAAAAGGAGTGGAAAAAGAGAGGAAAACACAAAGTTTTTCTTATGGAGAGACACTTGTGGCAATTTCTATGATTCTTATAGACACAGAACTCAACAACTAAACAACGTCAAACAGGTTTCTTTACCCAGGAGAGTTTTCTCAATCTTTAAAATGTTAATGTATCATATAATCTTCAAAAGGGGGTAAAATAATCAAACTTTCCTAACTTATTTAATCACAGAATACATTTTTCCACAGGGCAGCTCTTGGTACTGCTGGGCTGCATTTGGGGAAATAGTGCAGCACTCATGTAATAGGCAGGTTCTGTTTCCATTTTCTCCCATAACAACAAAGGAAGGTAGAAAGACTTTATCAATACTAGGAACCAGGAATGGGATGCAGGCCCTGCACTGTCCAATACAATAGCCAACTCACATGCGCTCTTATACACTTGAAATGTGGCTACATCGAGACTGGAGATGTATAGGAAGTATAAAATACACACTGGAGTTTGAAGACTCAGTACAAAAATGTAAAATATCTCATTCATGTTTTTATATTGATTGTATATTGAAATGCTATCATTTTGGATATATAAGGCTAAGTTGAATACATTATTAAAATTAATTTCATCTTTTTCTTTTTACCGTTTTGATATAGCTACTAGAAAATTTGAAAATTGCATATGTGGTTTGCATTCATGGCTCACATCACGATTCTAGCAGACACTGCTGCTGTATTTGTGAAACTCATGGCTGTTGTCTTCTACAGATGGTTACTAATGGCTTCAACCTAGCAGAAGTTTTAATAAGCTTAGTCAAGCTTAATAAATAAGTTTAATAAACGTAATCAACTTAGCTTGAACATATCCTTTTACTGAGATCTAGCTAATAGCTAAATGTCAGCTTTTGATTCATATGCGATATTGACTCTCCTTAAGTCCGTCTCATTCTTTTTTGCTCGACTACTTACACACACACACACACACGCTCGCACACAGAGGGATAAACTTTTTCCTACAAGGACTAAGAAAACCCAAAAGGGAAGCAAACAGAAAGTCTTTGCAAACTCTTTTCATAACCCTGGGTAGTTAAGCCTCATGCATCTTTACCCCCTTCTCCCTCTTCTTCCTGAGTATTGGACAGGGAGAAGAAAGAGAAAAAGAAGAGAGGATAGTCTGTTCTTTTAATCCACATAACTCACCAAACCCCAAAAGAACAAAAATATGGGTGATTTGGTTATTTTAAGTAATTTTTTCAAATTGAGTTCAGAAGGGGTAATTAATAGGTGCACAAAGGCAAAAGAAGATTCTGGGAATTCTGCAGATAAGTGACTTTGCCATTTGTGGAAGAGTCTAGATAAAAATGACAAGGTTCAATGATTCAAGAAAACAAAAACAAAATAAAATAAAACAAAAAACTCTAAAGGCATCATCCACCAGGCCTTGATTCATTCGTACTTTCAATTAAAGAAACAAGACGAGAGATTGCACCTCCAGTATGAGATTTATGATAATGGATGAGGGTCAAACATTTAATGTAGCATCAACCTTTTTGTAACATTAAAAATAAAATTGCCAGGTTTATTTATGGAGGGGAAGCAGGATAAATGCCACCACCACCCTATTCTCATGAATAGCCACACTCACTTGTGATCTGACTACTAGACCCAACTTCTGTTGCTGCTGACCTTGAGGTTGTCCGCCCTTCTGTCCAAAGGGTAATCCAGCCGTATTGAGGCTGGAACTCTTAGCTAAGAACAGACATGGATGGAAAAGATAAGGAGAAAACCTGCCCTCCCAGGCGAAAGGAGGTCACATGATAGAGCAGATACAGGAAAAAACATATCACAATGAACTATAATATTTAAAGAGGATAAGAAGGAGACGTTGGTGAATCAGGGGTGGTGCTGGGTTAGAGGTCCCAGAAAGCAATGAAACTCATGGGTAAAAATGGACTGGTTCTTTACAGTGTTAAACATGCATCCACAACTCACTCTGAGATACTGAGCTTCAGCAAGCTTCCCCTCACCCACCCCTTTGCCTGCCTTCTCATTTGCTTTCCTTGCCAAATTTATACCAATATTATGTGGGCTCGGCAAATTTGAGGCTCATTTAGCTATTAATTTGGGACAGTGCTGAATAAATAGCCCAGGTCCCCAAAGGAATGCCTAATATGCAATTGAGAGTATATTTTGATCACTATATGTCACATGGTTCTGAGACTTGAATTAAAGTGCAGATCAAACTCACCCCAGAATTACTTTATTTTCCAGTTCATTTTCTCTCTACAGACCTGGCTTGCCTGCTCCTTTTCTTGAGTTATTGGCACTGTAATCTTTTGTTCTCAGCAAGCAAAATAAATATTTGCATTAAAAGGAGCTTCTGAGCTAAATCAGTCTATTCCCATGTAGTAAGTCTTGTTGAATCAGAACCTTCTGAGGCAAAATGCTGTGCTCAGGACTGGTGGTAGAATATTTAAAAATGTACACTTGGTTTTTATCCATCTAGTGACCCAGACCTCAAGCACTGCATCCACATATAGAGATTCTATTTGGTGGAAATGCTTATTGGAAGTCATAACTGGGCATGATTTTTCTATGTATATAGTGGGTAAAATATAACATCCCTTTTAAATATATAAAGCATCTGCACATTAGAAGACTCACTTATATTCATTTTATCATTGACAACTTTTATAACAATCCTGTGAAGTAAATAGGGTGATTATTATTATTACTATAGTGGCCCCTAAAAGTGGCAGAGCAAGACTTTGAGATTTCCAGAACAGGGCTCTTTGCACTACTAATGTTTTTCCTTTTAATTGTGTGTTCATTTAACATGGCTAGAAATTACAAACACATTTGTTTCATTGAAATTACTGAGATTTGCTCTTTCAAATTTGAAACAATTTCAGTATTACCATGATTAAAATCTTAATATGTCAAAAAAGTTAAAGAAATAAGCTGCCACTGGAAGAGATGCAATTTAGCACAGACCAAGAAAACGACTGTTTCTCGAGTTATCAGTAAGTAAATACTGTTATCTTAATAGCATAGTCAACTACCTAAAGAAGCACAGGGAAATGTACTCTAGCAAACCCCTGTTCTACTCAGTTATCAAGTTACAAGTGGAAGTGAAAAACTACAAACTGATGACTGAAACAGGTTTGGGCAAGATAAAAATATATAATATTTTGGGGTGTGTGTGGAAGAGATGGTATGTAATTACATTAATGAAACAAAATACACAGAGTTGTAATGGTTTCCAAAATGTCCTGCTATCAAAGTAGAATGCAGTCTCCCCATTACTGAGAGACTCTTTCAATGTATCCTCAAACATTTCCACTATTACCTTCAGGGTTTATAATTGCTCACGCTATGTATAGTAAATAATATTAAAGTTATACTAGTGGTGGTGAAAATGCCCCTGTAGCCTTTAAGAGACAACAGGCTTAAGTACTACATTAAAAATGCTACCACAGAGAAGGGGGGCAAGTTGGATAATTAAATAAGAAGGAACATGCCACACTTTCCTACAGCAAAATGTAAGGATCTTTTTTCCCCTTCTTCGAAAAATAATATAGAAGAGGACCTTCCAAAATCTACAGTTCTTTCAGGAAAATGAAAAGCTTCATCAACATGTTTAAGTGCTAAACAAGCCTATTGTTGTTTCTAATTTGCCGAGATGTCATTTCATAAAGACAATACTCAAACATGGTCCTTGCTTAGATTTGACACACAGAAGGGGTTGTCTTTCATAATGGTTAGCACATCATCATCAGACCTATCAGACCTTAAAAGGGCAGATAGGCCCGGAAGTGGTCTTGTTTTTCTGAAGTTACTAGAAATGGAACTGATATGATAATGAGCTAGAGTATCAGTTCTGAATGCTTTAGGTTTCAGGTCTCAAGGATGAATTGTGAAAGAACAGCAAATGGAAACAGAAGGTAGCTTTGAGGGAAAGGTTATTTTGTTCACTATTGTATCCCCAGATTCTAGTCTAGAATACTGAATAAATAAACTTAGAAAGTGAAACCCTGGGTCTGAATCCTTGTTTTGTCCTTTTCTAGCTGTGAGACTTTGGAGCATTTACCAAACACATCTTGAGGGGTTCTTGGACGATAAAAACTGCATGTGTTCCATAAAGCTCTGTATATAGGATGGTTATTATATTCAGCCTATATGAAAGAACTTCTGGACCCAATCTAGAGTCATCTGAAAGCTGCTATTTACGTGGTATCACCCCAAACTGAGCATTTTCACTGATGAACAACTGAGGCCAATTTGATACAGTTATATCTGAGGATGTAAAAACGAAACAGGAAACTTAAAAGTTGTATGCATTTCAAAATCATTTTGTCCTACTTTATTGCAATGAGTGCAAACATACACAGTCATAAAATACACAAAGATAGTTGTTGCTTTCTTTGGTCAGATTCTTTGAGAATGTTATGAATGCTAGAGACCCTTATCCCTGCAAAATGAGCACACACGAACAAACTGGTCCATACACATACATACACCAACACACTTGTAGGTTTGCTTTGTAGGCAACAGAGCATTCCCTAACTCATTCCAAAGTCTATGATTCGAGTTAAGAATTACTGAAATAAAGAATAAGTATTTGGATTTACATGGGAATACATATGGAATACACACATACATACACACATACACATAATATATCCAAATATTTAATGCCTATTTAAATGTCTTATAAAGTACACAATTTCCTACTCAATCTGATATATGCAATTGCCACTGACCAAATTCTAGGAAAAGGGTCAACTCATGCTCTGCATATTGAAGTGACAGATGCTCCTATAGTGTTCTGCAAACCACTGTTTACTTGAAGCAATTTCACAACTTCTATGTGTTTACAGCAGGGTTGAATTTAATATGACAACTTGGCTCAATGAGTATTACAGCCAATTTCTAGTGGACCCTGTGTCTTGGAAGGTAAGGTAACCAACCACAGAATTCACTCATCTCTTCATGTAATAGTATAAAATGGAGCAAAATTATTTCCACAATCACTGGTAACTTCCCCAGCCTGTCTCCCTGTCCCAAACAAAGGCAGAAATGACACATCTTTGTAGTGGTTACCCTGATCTTTGAAATTAGTGATTTTTACCAAGAGTATATTTTATAGTTCAGCTAATAGCTCCATCAAGATTATGTACATAAAGGCATTTTAAAAATTACTAACAATAGACAATACACAGTTCACACTTCCTATGGAGAAAAACACTTGATAGCAACACTTGCTATAGTATAAGTTTACTAGCTTATAAATTTTGCTATTCTAATTGAGCTTTGAGGAGAAAAAGGAACCAGGAAAAGAGATGTTCTAAGGTCTAAGAAAACTTCAAATTTTAGTATCTGAACTAAGCTATGATATGATTTCTTTAAATTGCCCAGGGTGATGAAAAAAAAAATGGAGATTCATATGCAAATATCTTTACTCAGTAAAAAACATAAATTTCAATAAATATAAGCACAGGACAACCAAGAGTTTATTTTTATACTTCAGCAACCTGACAATTCATCCCTCATAGCAGTTTTCAGCTGGGCAATTATTTTAATTTTTGATTGTCTTTATTTCTGAATTTAAGGGTAGAGGGCACACGCAAACGGTCAAATTCTCATTGAGATTGCAAAGGTATTAGCATACTTTTTGTCATAGTCCACACTTGCAGTTTGGTTTTCTATGTCATAACTGAAAAACAGATCATTTCTCTTTCCCCTTTTCCTATGATCCCTTGTTTCACATCTATTCCCTGAAACATTAAATCTCTGCAGTTTTGAGATGAGTTGTGGTATCTTTATTTTGCAGATCCTTTCTCAAATCTGGCATCATGTTGCCTTCACCTGCCTGATTCCTTCCTTCTGGTGGCAATGTTAAGGCTCATGGTCGCGATACCATTGAATGTGGCTTATGTGGAAACTGCCTTGGCTTGGCTCAGGGGATCTCTGCAGGGCCACAGTGGAAGATGGAGCCTTCTAAACAAAGACGCTGAAGAGAGGGAATTCAGCCTGATTGGGCTGCAGCAGGTCAATCAGAAAGCACACTGTCCCGGAGAAGCCTTCATACAAGCTGTATATACTTTCAAGGACCCGAGAACCGGCCTTGAATTCCTCAGTAAATAAGAATTGAGCGAACCTAAGAGAAGAAGAAAATATGAACAGTTTACATGAGTGTTTCCATATTATGGACCTTGGGTTGCTTCTTCCTCTTCTATTAAAGTTTTAGCATAATTTTATTTCCAGAATTATATAATTAAGTATTTTAAGAAACACATTTTCTCTGTTAAAAAAAAAAGAAGAAGATCCATTATATAACTGTGTATGTTTCACAACAAATTATGCTGGCAAGCAAATCCAACTATTCTTAGAGTTTGCAAAGCAAAGCAGTTTGGAATTTTCAAGGATTTCATTCTTTCTGTCATCCAGTAATTAAAGTAAAAAAAGACAGATAAATTGCTCTACTTTTATTTATCTTGAAAAGAAGCAAAGTGATACGTGACTGTTCCTTTAAAAAAGTAAATATGCTGTGTTTCTGCAGGCATATTACTTCTGAGCTGGGTTTTCATTTATATGTGACAAAAAAGCAGAGACTGTGAAAATAAATGGGCAAGATTTTATACAATCTGTGCTGTGAGCAAACAAGGGAATAAGATGAATAGGAAAAGGCAGCAGCTTCACAATGATAACATCAAATAGCAAACGCAGCTACAAGAGAGATTATTTTTGAGACATCCACCTTACATTAAATCACAGGCCTCTAAATTCCCTATGGAGGACCTTTTTTCTTTTACCCATATTTGCCACAAATATTATTCAGATGATTTTTAACAAGTAACATTTTTATAGCAGTTTACAGCTTCCAAAGTGCCATTACCTACATCATCTTTTTTTACTGACTTGCTCTACTCATTCCCATCAAGAACACAAATAATCACCAATCCAGAGGCTGGAGTTCACAGCTTGGTAAGACTCAAGCACTGATACTGTCATAAATTTAGGTTACTGCTACTACATAGGGGGTCTTACAAAGGGTAATTATTTATTTGATTTTTTTTAGGGCTTTTGGAATTACATACGGCAGCTTAAAATAAATCAGCAGGAGGCCGGGTGCGGTGGCTCACGCCTGTAATCCCAGCACTTTGGGAGGCCAAGACGGGCAGATCATGATGTCAGGAGATCAAGACCATCCTGGCTAACCCCGTCACTACTGAAAATACAAAAGAATTAGCCGGGCATAGTGGTGGGCGCCTGTAGTCCCAGCTACTCGGGAGGCTGAGGCGGGAGAATGGCGTGAACCTGGGAGACGGAGCTTGCAGTGAGCTGAGATCGTGCCACTGCACTCCAGCCTGGGCAACTGAGTGAGACTCCGTCTCAAAAAAAAAGTGTATATATATATATATATATATATACACACACACACACACACACACATATATATATATATCAGCAGGAAACAGATTGTAATTCTGTTTGGTACAATTTTTCTAGAACTGTTTTTCTGAATATGCAAAAATTTTAAAATGGAATTTAAAATTTTAAACAGTAGAATATTAATGCATCACAAGAGTTACTTCTAAATTTGTAATAATATAGCCAGCATCATGATATAGCTTCAGTTGGGCTCCTCAGGAAAAAAGTTTTCAAGTATATAAAATAAACCACACAGTATTCCAAAGGAAAATAATTATATTAAAACACAACAAAAAATTTTAAAGCCAAATTTGTGATATAATAACATATGTATTATTTGCTAACACATTAAATGCCAAGGTACAACAGTGGATTTAATAACTGCTAGCATTTCTAGCTAGTGATGTGAATATAACATATTTTACAATATCTGCAACAAGGGTAATATGACATGAGAATATCTATGAATTCTATTGTTTGCAAAGTCACAGCTACTAATACTTCTGTGACTTATTACCTACATTCAGAAAATTAGGAAATGTTACCTTTAAGTTTGAGATACAATCTCTTTGTCAAGCAAACTCACAAATCCTAGATTAAGAACCCCTGGTATAGTAGAAAGAGCAAGGGCTTTGGCAAATTTCTCAAATTGACTTTAAAATGGTGAAGTTGCAGAACTGGATAGTGTTATATGTAAAGATAAAGGATATATCATATACCAGGCTCTGAGAATATAGCAAGCATTCCATAAATAGAAAATATTACTTTTTACATAAACATATAATAAAAGGAGATTTATAAAACACAAATGTAAAAGACGATTTGTAAAATCATAGTATAAAAGAAACCCACAATGTTGCTGGCTCTTCTTCTGACCTTTCCCCCATGCACTCATTTGTTTGTTGCATTATTACATGTTATTAAAGTATATATGATTTGGTATCCCGTATTTTTTCACTTAAAATATGCTAAATATTTTCTATGCTTTTCAAAATAATTTCTAAATGATACATAGCAACTTAAAATAGTACCGGCAATGTCTGAGAGTAGCAGTTTCATTGTATTCTGACCTGTATTGTGTGTTATTATTTGTGAAAAATATTTCAAAAATCGATCCAGTGGTGCAAAATTAAACAAATTTTTTTCTAAAATTTTCTCAGTCAAAATGGAAGTCAGTGTGCTAATTACAGAACTAAAAAGAATAGAAGACACAATAAAATATGAAACATTTCATATCAAAACCCATTGATTATGACCAAAACTGAATGTAGAAGAAAATTCATAGATCTGTGAGTTACCATTATTATTAATAAAATGATGGAATGCTTTCTAATTAAGCATGTATAAACTCTAGAACACAACAAAATGAAAGGAGGTAAAAGTGGAAAACAAAAGAGAAAAACAAAAAAAAGTTAATAAGCAAAACCAGAAGCCAGTTCCTTGAGAGGATTAACAAGATAGAAAAAACACTGGTGCAGCTGACCAGGAAGGAAAAGCATTAGAAATCACCAAGGGCACATAGCCACAGAGATAGGAGATTAAAAATATTATGGAACTATACGATCAGAACTCTATGTCAAATATTTGAAAATTCATAAGAACTAGATGGTTTTATAGAAATATATGCACTACCAAAAAGAAGAGGTAGAAAACCCGAGTGATTAAATAAGCATAAAAGAAAATTAAGAAGTTGTCAAATATTTTTCTGCAGCCATAAAATCCAACTGTATGTTAAAAAATAATAGGTGACAACCAAGTAATATTCATTTTAGGGAGGTACACATTTTTTAACATGCAATTGTTAAAGTATGCCCCTAGCCAACAGACAAAATGGGCTCCCCTTGGCAAACTCAGGTGCTCCAAGTTAAAACAGGACCAGGCAGCTATGGCTGGGTGAGGGAGTGATCATGTACTCTGTGTTCTGAGAAAGACATTGTAAAAGCATCACAGGACCTTTCTTTCTCCAAACCAGTTCCTGTTGTGAGTGCCAAGATATGCCAGCCCTCCACCCGCCATTTGGAAGAAACAGGTGACAGAGACTTCTGGTTTTCAGCTTGGAAAGTAACTAATCAGAACACACCTAAGCCAAACAATCAGAGTCACCTGCCATGGCCAATCAGGGCTCAGCTGCACTGACCAATCAGAACTGAGTTTCAATCCTTTATTTGCATAAAAGGACCTGACCCTGGGCAGGCAACTTTGCTATAAAACTCAGCCCTGAGAGGCTGCTTCATTTTACACCACAGGCTGTGTATCCTGTTTGCAAACTGTTCACTGGAATAGTCTCTTTCCTACACATTACGTTTCAGAGAACTTTTGTTCACACAATGCCCAAAGAATACTCAGATATTACCTCCACATTTCCAGTCTTCTACATGTTAGTGAGAAATGTAAGTTGTCTAAAGAGACCTGGACCCTAAATCTTATATCTAAGACTCTGTAAGCTAGGACTGGCCTGCCAGAAAATACTTAATGGGTACAAAGTTCATTATTTGAGTGGCGGATACCCTAAAGTCCTGACTTCACCACTATGCAATCTATCCAAATAACAAAATTACACTGAATTCCATACATTTACACAAATTTTTTAAAAATAAAATATTAAAAATTACAAAAAAGAAAATAGAGGGGTTGTTCTGATCCCTTTTAATACACTTTACAGGTAATAAATGAATTTCATTCATTTCTGATGAAATTTAGCCCAAAGGTGAAATCTCACTACCATAGATAATATCCAAAATTACTTTCTTTTTCTATGTTTGTGCACCTAAGGAGATTAAGAAACCAGGAATCAATTATATTACAGATTTCCTAAACAATAGAGCTTCAAATCGAAGACTTACATAAGTTAGTATTTGCCCTTCAGTGCATTCATATAAATATCATGAAAAATAGTTTGTTTTCTAAACATTAAATATTAGATAAGTTGACCTGGAAAGGCCTTTCTGAGAACGTGACTTTTGAGTGAAAGTCTGAATGAAATGGGGGAGCTAGGAGATATATGTAGAAAGTGAACATTACAGGTGGAGGGAACCAAAACTTCCAAGGCCTTGAGGTGGAGTGTGCCTGGCATCCTAATGGGATTACAAGGAAGCCACAGTGGTAGAGAGAACCAGGAGGAAGAAGAGTAGGCAATGAGATTAGAGAGGTAATGGGAGGCTAGATCATGTAGGACCTTTCATTCATAGGAAAGACTGGCTTTTACTCTGAATCATATAGGAAGCCATTGGATTACACTGGACAGAGAAGTGTTATAATCTAACATGATAAACATTATAAGAAGTGAATATAAAAGACCATGGTAAAAACATAGAAGCATTCCTAGTAAAATCAGCATAAAAGCAAGGGTGTTTACTATCACTCTTATTATTGAACATTGTTATAGGATTGCATTGTTATAGAGAAGAATCATGTAGTGGGAAAAAAATACCATGCACATGAGAAAGGAAGTAACAGAATGATAGTTATTTGCAGATATGTGTGTATCTATTCAGAAAACCCAATATAATCAATAAAAAAACTAATAGAAATAGTAATGGAGTTCATTAAGGCAGCTAGATATATTATTATGATAGTTATGAAAAGTAAAATACTTATAAGATACAGTCTATATTTATATGAAAAATTACGTATTAAAATTGATAAACTTCAGTGATGTGTATGTTTTAAAAGCTTTCATAAATACCAGTAATAAATGATATGAAAATATAATGAAGGAAAAGAGTCCACTCACAACAAACCTGGAAATATAAAATACCCAGGAATAAAATTAACAAAAAACATACAAGACCTTCTTCACAAGATCAAAACTTTACCAATGACATTTGTTTAAACTTAAATAAATGGAAAGGTATACCATGTTTCTGGATGGACAAATTCAATATTCTAAAGATGTTGATTCTCATTAAGTAATCTATAAATTCGATGAAATTCCAATCAAATTTCTGTAAGATTTTTTAAAAATATGACGAATTGACTCTAAAATACAATTAAAAGAATAAATGAGAGAATGATAGGTAGAATATGGGGAAACTATGGAACTCATATATTTATATAAACTGTTTATAAAAAAATTGGAATTTCAAATCATGAGGGTAACTGGTCAACAGATGCTATTAGAATTTTTTTAATAAACAAAAATAGATACCTATCCGAGACCATTTAAAAAGTAATTTCTAGCAGAATCAAAAAATTTTAATGTCAAAATAAAATCATAAAATTATTACAAGCCCATGTAAATTAATAGTTTTCTAATCCTGAAGTGGGAAAGGGCCTTTTAAAGCATAACACAAAATCTAGAAATTTTAAAGAAAAGATTGAAAACTTTTACAAGAAAAACACTTAAAACTTTGGTATGACAAAGGCTCCGAACAAAATTAAAAGAGAAATGGCAAAGCAGGAAAATATTTACAGCATGCATTGACAAAGAGTTACAATCCTGAATAGAAGCATCACAACAGGAAAAAAAATGGGCAAAGGATGAAGACAGGCTATTTATAGACCAAGAAATACCTATGGACCTAATGACTTCAATTCTAAAATTTCTCTGACAAGTGCTTTCATAAGTGCACAGAAATGTATATATTGGATATTTGGGGAAATTTTGTTTGTATTAGTAAAGATTACACAAATGTCAAGTATCCATTATTTAAGGATTGGTTAATTATGGTACACGCATAGTGAACAACTACATAGCCATTTTTTAAAAAATGAGATAGATTCATACAAAATGAAATAAAGAGCGTCCCTTAAAAATTGTTCATTTAAAATTATAAGCTGCAAATATAGCGGAGAGGTGGTGGGCTCACACCTGTAATCCCAGCACTTTGGAAGGCTGATGCAGGAGGATAGCTTAAGACCAGGTGTTCAAGGCCAGCCTGGGCAACATAGCGAGATTCTCTCTACATAAAAAAAAATTGGTAGTTGTTGTTTCAATCCATTCTTGCACTGCTATAAAGAAATACCTGAGATTGGGTAATTTACAAAGAAAAGAGGTTTAATTGGCTCATAGTTCTGCAGGCTGTACAGGAATCACAGCAGCTTCTGCTTCTGGGGAGGCCGCAGAAGCTTCCAATCATGGTAGGAAGTGAAGGAGAAACAGACACATCTTACATGGCCAGAGCAGGAGCAAGAGGGGAGGGGGAAGTGCTACACACTTTTAAACAACCAGATCTCTTGAGAACTCTATCACTATATAGTACCAAGAGGGGATGGTGCCAAACCATTCATGAGAACTCTGTCCCCAGGGTCCAATCACCTCCTATCTGGCCCCACCTCCAACACTGGGGATTATAATTCGACATGAGATTTGGTAGGGAAACATATCCAACCCATATCAGCCACATATGGTGGCATGAACCTATGGCCCTACCTACTCAGGAGGCTGAGCTGTGCCCATGAGTTGCAGGCTACAGTGAGCCATAAATCACACCACTGCACTCCAGCCTAGGTGATACAGTGAGACCCTTTCTCAAAAAAATAAATAAATAAAATTATAAGCTACAAACAGTACATATAGAACTATTATACATATATAGTAGTAGGAGCTCATTAAAATATATATGTACACATATACATTTATGTGAACATACATTTATGCATAAAGAAAAGTCTGGAATTATAAAACTCAAATTTATACTAATAACAATGAACATTTACATTGCAGTTACTATGCGCCAAGCATTATTTCTAAATGATTTTTCATATATTAACTTGTTTAAACTACCATACATTCCTATGAGGTAGGCACTATTTTCCATATTTTATGAAAGAAGAAACTGAGAATCACTTGTTAAAATGAGCTAAGTGACTTGTTAAAGGTTGCGTGACCTGTTAAAGGTCACTTAACAGTCACTTAGCTCATTTTAATAAGTGATTTGTTAAATGTCACACAATCAATTTGATAATCATCAGTTGTACACTTTCAGTGGGAATCTTCACAATGGTACAGGGGCTACTCTAGCACCCCCTCCCACCTCTGCCAAGTGACAGCTCAGATTCGTGGGAACCAGACTACATGGGTGGGCATGAGAGACCACTCTGGCTTAGAAGACCTAAGTGTCACACAAGAAAACAATATCTTTTGTAACCATTCATGGCTATGGACGGCTTCTAAGTCCCTTCAAAGTGAATGCCACTTTCATGCCACTCTGCATTCAGGGAAGCCCCTACTTGTGCTTTTCATCAGATTATTTATAGTTCATTTATGGTCCTCCTGACCCAGTTTACCCAGCTTACCAGTCAGAGTTAATATCTATTAAAAGCAATGTTGTCTGGTATATAGCAGATGTTCCATCTTTATCAAGTTTACAGGGAATAAACTATAGAGGAAAATTTTATATTGTCTGTCAAAATTACAAATCATATATATATATATATAGCCCAGCAATTTCATTTCTAGAAATTTATCTTTCAGATATACCTATACATGTGCAAATGATATATGCACAAGATTAGTCATCATAGCATTATTTGTAGTACACAATATTGGAAATAACCTAAATATCCCCATAATACACACACACACACACACACACACACATATATACATTTTAGTTTAGATATTTGACCCTTCAAATCTCATGTTGAAATTTGATCCCCAGTATTGGAGGTGGGACCTAGTGAGAGACGGTTGGGTCATAGAGGCAGATTGCTCATGAACAGATTGATGCCATCCTCCTGGTAATGAGTGAGCTCTCACTCTATTTGTTCCCAGAGATGATTGTTAAAAAGAGCCTGACACGTTCCTCCTCTCTCCCTTCTTCTCTCCCCATGTGATACCTGTTTTCCTTCCCCTTCTGCCATGAGTAGAAGCTTCCTGAAGCTTTCACCAGAAGCAGATGCTAGTGATGCTTCTTGTACGGTCTGCAGAATCATGAGCCAAAGGAAACTTTTTTCTTGATAAACTACCCACCCTCAAGTATTCCTTTATAGCAACTCAAATGGATTAAGACATTTACTTATACACCATGTACACAGAATATCTTTGGGAAGATAACCAAAAAAACTGTCTCTAGGGTAAGTCAACTGCATGGCTACAAGGCACAGTTGATGTATTTATTTTTACACTTTTCAAACCATGTGACTGTATTACTAATTCAGAAAAATAATTAGATTAAAATTTTGAAAAAAAGAGACCCATAAAGAACAGCTGACCTTTGAGCTCGGTAGATATATTTAGAGTTTCCCGTGAGCCGGTACAGCAGCAGGAAGACATAGGCACTGCCGGCTACTCCATGGCAAATCCCAGGCCCCTTCTTTAGCAGGCCTTTCTGCCAAGTGAGTTCCCCACACCGAATACATGTGTCCAGGTACTGCGGTTTCTTGGAAACTAGATAAGCTTTGGCAAACAGATAGGCAATTCCTGTGAAAACATCAAAGACATTAGAGGTGACTTTCAGGACTTAATACTTTGGAGCAGAACTTCTAGAACTATAAAAAGCTCATGAGTACTGGTAAAACACAGATTCTAATATTGTAGTTCTGATGTGGGGCCTGAGACACTGCATTTCTAACAAGCATTCTTCTAAAGACCACACTTTGAGTAGGAAGGTGCTAGAATGTTCTATAAGAGAATCTTATTTTCCTGGTGAGATTTTAATTTGTTTTAATTGTATTGCAGGGTTGGCCCCGGGAGAAAGAGCAACGTTTTTATTGACGTACATAGATTGATAAAATCTTAAATTTAATTTATGAATGGGTTCATATTTAATGACACATACTCTAGTAAGCATTATGTATATTTGGTTATTTGAAATGGCTAAATATTTGTAATGAATTTGTAGTTTAAAATTTGTAACGTTTATAACTATACACATTTTCTTAAGAGCAAAACTGGGAGTCTTTCCAAGAAAAACAATGCTCCAGAAGGACCTTGCGAAGACTACTACTTTAGCTGTGAAGTGAGTCCTTCCCACCCTGATTGTTCCAAGGAAAGAACTGTTCCTTCAAAGCTCTTCAACAAAAGTAGTATCAATTACAAGAGAAACAAGAGAAGCAACAGCTATTAATAGAAATGATTTTCCCCAAGTTCTAGGTGTTCATATTCAGTGAGGAGGTTGGTATCACAAGATCACATTCTCTCCTGCATAGCCTACCTTTCTCCTATACAAAAAGTGCGAAAGACTGAAATATAGCTGGTATCTTGACTACCTCATCAATCAGAGTTATCATTGCCTTTCATTGCTTTGACCCTATAGGCTATTTTACAACTCTGTAGAGATAGAAATTGTCTTGTAGAAAACTGATAGTAATGTAAATATTTTTTGTCCCTAGAAGCTCACATTCTGTCTGGTAGAGGTTGACTTCCCTCTGCCTCTGTGGAAGAAGCCAGTTTTGCATTTATTAAGCAAACTTATTTCAGCATTCCTAATGGCCTATATAAATATGTCTACTCTGGATTTTCCTTTGAAACAGTTGTAACACCTTTCTGGTTCCCTCATTAAATAATGAGCTCAGTAAAATGGTTCATACATATTCTTTTTATATTTGTATGAGGGTCATGATTTCATACTCTTTTTAAGTTTATCCTTTAATATACCCTGTGATTAATACTTACATAGCAATAAGCTCTTTGCTCAGTCAGTGCTTTCCAGTCAACTACTGACAATGTTTACCTACAGCATTCTCCTACTTCAGTTTTAGGAACAAAGTATCTTGTACAAACTAAAGGATGATATTGAAAGAACTGAACTTATTTAATCATACATTCATTCATTCATTGCGTCCACTCATTTGACAGTAGTCATTGATTATGTACTGTATGCACAGCTCTAGGCAAGGCTGGCATCATGGGCATGCCACCTGTGCAGGCCTACAGCCCATACTCCTTAAAAGGGTCCCATGTTGAGTTTAATGCTCTGCTATTACCACCTTGAAATTCTTAATAATTTTTCTAAAAAGAACTTGCATTTTCATTTTGCTATGGGCCTCCCAAATTATATACTCAGTTCCAGCCCTGGGTGATATTAAATAAATGCTAAACATGACTCCTACCCTTCAGGAAGGCACTCTCCAAAAAGGGAGATAAAAATATATGCATATGACTGATACATAATAGGATATATAGTTCATGATGCTGCTGGAACATAAAATAAATGGTTCTCTCAATAATACTAGTGGAATCCGAAAGGTGGAAGTCCCAGGCCGGGTGCGGTGGCTCATGCCTGTAATCCCAGCACTTTGGGAGGCTGAGGCGGGTGGATCACGAGGTCAGGAGATTGAGACCATCCTGGCTAACACGGTGAAACTCCGTCTCTACTAAAAACTACAAAAAATTAGCCGGGCATGGTGGCGGGCGCATGTAGTTCCAGATACTCAGGAGGCTGAGGCAGGAAAATGGCGTGAACCCAGGAGGTGGAGCTTGCAGTGAGCCGAGATCGCGCCACTGCACTCCAGCCTGGGCGAGAGAGCGAGACTCCATCTCAACAACAACAAAAAAAAGAAAGGTGGAAGTTCCCTACAGAGATAGTTAGATGGGGCCTTAAATGGAAGGAGCACTTTTTCAGAACTTTGAAGGATACATACAAAATTCCAGGCCCAAGATGAAGTAGGGAGGGCATTCTATCTAGCACCAAGATTAGCAAGGGCAAAGATATGGAGCCAGGAAGGACAAGCCACATGAAGGCTAGTGGGGCAATGTTCTAACCAACAGACCAGTGGGGAACAAGACTAGACTGGGTTCTGATTATGGATGGTTTTACAAATCTAATTAGATAGCTTGGACTGTACTCTGTGGTCATCAGGGAACCAGTGGAAGTGTTTTTGTTGTGAATTGGTTGGCTTTTATTTTTGTATGACAATGTGATTATTATGGACAAAATGTGCCAATTTTAGTGGTGTCAGGAGAGACCTAAAGAAGGTAACAGGGTAGCTGTGAGCTGGTTGTTAGCAGAAAGACAAAAATGAAGCCAATGACCTGTACGTTCATCACAGCACTATTCACAGTAGCAAACACATGGAGTCAACCTAGGTGCCCATCAATGGTGGACTGGATAAATAAAATGTGGCACATATACACCACGGAATACTATGCAGCCATAAAAAAAGAGATCATGTCGGGAACATGGATGGCGCTGGAGGCCATTGTCCTTAGGAAATGAATGCAGGAACAGAAAACCAAGTACCACATGTTCTCACTTATAAGAGGGAGTTAAGTGATGAGAACACATGGACACAAAGATAGGAACAATAGACACCAGGGCCTACTTGAGGAGGGAGGGTAGGAAGAGGGTGAGGGTTGAAAAACTACCTGTTTGGTACTATGCTCACTACCTGCATGACAAAATCCTTTGTACACCAAACCCTAGTGACATGCAATTTACCCATGTAACAAACCAGCACATGTACCCTCTGAATCAAAATAAAAGTTGAGAAAACAAAATATAATAAAGTGTTAATTGTATATTATGTAAATTTCACCTCAATAAAAAAAAGAAACAAAAAAGCTTCTTTAAAAAAACCAAAAGCCAATGAAAGAGAAATTTTGCAGAACTTGGTAAATGTTTCTATATTAATTGGGCATCTACTATATGCCAGGCACAGTAGTAGGTGCTAAGCTCTTAAAAAGTCTCTATTTTCAGCTTAACTGGAAGTATTAATTAGACTACATGAGGGGAAATAGAAGTCTCATGGAAGCACACAGGACGGCCCCTAGCACACACTTGGTAGAAGGAAATGACTATTAGAGGGGTGACACCATCTAACCTGATTATTGGGGGTTGATAAGGAATTAGCAAGGTGTACTGCATGCTGTTGATGACCTGCATGGATCAGCTTTATGTTACCAGCAAGTGCCTCATTTCCCAGTTCCTGTGAAAGTCGGCAACTAACAAAGCTCACTGCTGCATCTTCTTGAGAGATTTGCCCTCAGAAAAATGAGAGGCTATGCTATGCAGCCACCCCTCACAGGGATGACACAGGGATACAAAATATCGGCTTCCTTGCCTCAAGGGAGACCCAGCTTCTTGATATAATCTGTGTTTCTTAGCTTCTCCTCAGACTCAGGGTGAAGCTAGTCTCCAGGTAAGACATGCTCCTCTTTGGTCTATTCTGCTTCCCTGCTCCCTTACAGGTTCCTCTTGATACCAAGCTCTAATTTTAGACCCTGAGGAAAGAGCTTGGTGAAGAAGGAGGGCATTACAGCCAATCAAAGGAAGGTGGGTGGGAAGGCCCTGCTCTTGTTGGCCTCCCTCAGGCTCTAGGTGTCCTTCCTAGATGATTGCTTTAGCCTCCTGTCCCCAGGTCTGCCATGCCTTAAATTCATTCTGTGGCAGAGTGAGTGACCTTTCTAGGACCATAATCTGACCATGACATTCTCCTGCTTAAACTACTAAATAACTTCCTATTACCCAGATGTCTTAGCATGACACAGAAAGCCCTTTGTGACTGAGCTCCTTTTCTATTTTCCCACCTCTTCTCCTCCATTCCCTTCTTGAAATTTTCACTTCAGTAGAACCAAACCACCTAGAGTGCTTTCATGCTTCTTACTACCAATGTGGTTCACTTTTCTTGGAACAAACTTTGTACCTTTCTTGATCTGGCTAATTTACCTTAGGCATCACAACCTCCAGGAAGCCTTCCCCGGACCTGGAGGCAGCATGAGGAACCCCTCTGAGCTTTCATTGATCCTATACAAACTTTAGCACTTACACAAAACCCAATTAAAATTATCTATTTCCATGGCTGCCTCCCCTAATACAGTGCAAACTACTCAAGAGCAGAAACTGTATCTTGTTCACTTTTTTCACACTAGTGTGTGGCATGGTGTCTGGCAAATGCCATGAACCTCATGCATGTCTGTTGACCATAAAGTGCCCCATTTCTCAACCCAGCACAGGCTGATACTGGGGTATGGATGAGAGATGTAGAAGGAAGAAGGGTGAGATGATCTAATTGCTATACCAGGCTATGAGCCCCAGACAGCTTAAAAGGTATTGATCCTGTGGTTCTGGCCAGGGTGAAAGAGCCTCTTCCTGCATCCTGGATCACAGAATGTTACATGGAAGTGACCTTGCAAAACTTCTAAACTAAAATTTAGTAAACCTGTTGGTTCCTAACCCAGCATAATGGAAGCCACAATAAGGCTACTTAATTAAAAAAAAAAAAAAAAGGCAATGGTGGGTTTCTTTGCTTTTGATAGGAATCAGGAACCACATCATTTCATCATAGGAACACTAATTATTGTGCATTGATAAGAAGCCTGAGTCAGCAATGATGTATGACTTTGCCAAATGCAACTGGGAAAAGGAATTAATTATTACTTAATAAATATGTTTTAAGAGACTAAACTTTTGAAAATATGGGATCTAATAGGACCTTGTGACAGCCAGACTTGGCACGTATACCTTCAACACACTGGAGAATCACCACTCAGGTCCATTCTGGGTTGTGTAATTTTGCTGAGGCATGTATTGTACAGCGTGCACTACAGAGCTTAATGACCAATGATATCTGTACTGCAAAAGCCTTGTTGTTCTTTATTCAAAGTCACCTACCCAAGAGCCTTTACAAAATGAGTTTTTTAAAAAAATACCCACACCTGTACTTCATGCAGCCTCAAGGAAATGCACTGTCAGTGTTACCACAGCAGTGATGTAACCTAATGCAGTTGAGTTTATTTTAGCCACAGCATTTGTTTTAATGATTTTGTAAATGACTTTGGTCCTGTATTTCGGAATTGTCAAGGTTATGAAGGGGTCACATAAATCTTCCTGTAATACTTTACAGGACTTATTGAGAAAAAAAGCTATATGCCACACAAGGTATTTAAAAACGTCTTGTTCACAAAGCTCTTGGGGCACAACCCTCAGGAATGGCAAGGGACCAAAGTATAAAAGGGGGTCTGTGGTGATCAAAAGATTGAGTTCTGCTACTCAGTCTCAAAGTGCTCATTTCACAGATAAAGAGACAAAGGCACAAAAGAAACAAAGTGACCCTTTCTTAAGATCAGTAAACTGGTTAGTGTTGGAGCTGAAATTAGAAGCTGGAGTTATTAACTTAGAGTCAAGAACTATTTCTACACTGCATAAATGATAACTAGGCTTGTCACCTGTGGAGGTGGGTTGAAGGAGCATCAATAGGTAACAATTATAGGAACAGATAAGGTATCATTAATGAAGCTCCACGTTGTGGATTATTTCTGGCAGGCTTTTAATCACAGAATTAGTCTGCTGCCTCAAACCATCTGCACTGTTCATAAATCTACTCTCAAAAATGTTTTCCTTAAATAAATGAAAATTATTTTATAGTTCGTTTCCTGCATAGCATTTTTGGAGAGTTTACTGTTGCCAACTTCTACAAAATCTTGGTGGTCTTTGGACTGCACTTATTAGACTTATAATCAATCTTGATGCTGTTTTTAGAGCACCTCTTCAAAGAAAGATCAATACCCTTGAGGTGGGGGTAGGGGTTGGTAGAAATAATGGGCCCCACTTCGTTTTCTATTCATTTTTGAATTGGTTTCGTTTTGGTAGTCCAGTGAATACGTGGACTGAATGATTTTTCTTTAAAACTTATGTTTAATCTTCTCTAGATACTGAACATGAATGATAAAGGAGGAGATAGTCTCCAAAGTGATGAATCCTATGCTGCACTGTTATGATAAATGATTTACAAAGACAGATGGTATTTAGTGTACATAAAGGATGGAATAATTGCCCTGCAAGACACCCACATCAATTAACTGACCCAGTCATTCATTTTAGTAGATTATCTTCCCACTTTTTTCAGGACTTTTACTAGCACATTGAATCCTTTTAAGATACTCTGTGTTTAAATTGGGATGTCTCCAAAATTCAAGGATCCTTGCTGGGATGCTTGGAGGATATCCAGAGACCATCACTGAGAATAATTAAAATAAATAAGAAATGGAAGAATTGAGCATAACAAGAAGGAATATCATTTCCAGCATGGTAAATAACTTGTTTTTTCCCCCAAAAAGGTCAAATTAAAAAGAAATGGGCTCAAATCATAACTGGCAAAAGTTAGCCTAGACATAACACATGATGCATGGATACTGGTACAAGCACACATTTTGAACTTCCTTCGATAGGTAAATGTAGCAGGCAGAAAAAATATGACCAATACACTGCGACTTACATTATTCATCAACTCAATACTATACTTTCAGGGATTATAATTCATCAACTCAAACTGTACCCTCCAAAATGAAATTATAGTTGGATTAAAGACCATTAATTAATGGGAGGAAAAGGTAATGAAACTCAGGTGAAAAAGTAAAGAGAAATCAAATATATTTTAAAACTGTGCTTGTGGGATTGAAGCATGGCCTTGAAAATTAAATCGACTCAGAATCTAAGAATTTTGTATTATTTTGGTATTTTAAATCTCTCCCCTGGCCATCTAACCAATATTGACTTATTTATTTGAATCTAACTTTTTTTCAAATTACCCATTCTCTGAAGGCTTAATTAGCAGTGTGACGGAATTTCTTAAAAGTGGGAAAAGATAGGGTTTGCTAAATTTCTAGCCTCAATTCCACAGAGTTTACTGGGGATGGCTATTCATGTTTCTAGACATCTTGTTTGGTACTGATGGAAATTCTTATTTGAAGAAGAGTTGTAGAATAGTGCATCCCAACCTTTAAAGTGCACGTGATTTGCCTAAGGATACTGTTAAAATGTAGATTTTGATTCAGTGGGTCTAGGGTGGGGCCTGAGATTCTGGATTTCTATCAAGTTCTCAGTTGTCCGTGCTACTGGTTCCAGGGGCCACATTTTGAATTGCCAGGTTCCAGATCTGCACTATCCAATGTAGCTACTGAGCACTTGAAATGTGGCTAGTCTAAATTGACATTTGATATAAGTATAAAGTATATGCTGGATTTCAAGGACTGAATATTTTTTAAAATGTGAAGTATCTCAATTTTTAAATTGTATATACATGGAAATGACAATATTAGGGGTACATTGGAAACTATAATATATACTATTAAAATTAATTTACCTGATTTTACTTTTTTAATGAGGTTACTAAAAATGTAAATTACATATGTGGCTCATATTATACTTCTATTGGACAATGTTAGTTTAACTTTATAAACAAATAGATATAGATCATATTTTTAAAATGTAGAGGACCATTCTCAGAAGTTGTTTTACTGATCAGGACATTTGGCTTTGAAAAATTTCATCTCGACCCTTTTATCTCACATAGTAATGACATAAGATGAGATATCCTCAGTTCTCAGAAAAGGAACCTCCCTGTGGCTAACCTAGATGAAAGGCAATGTTTTTAGATAACAGAGTGTGTGAGACCTGGAGCGCCATGGCACCAGTGCACCAGCTCATTCTCTCTCTCGATGGTCTCGCCGAGCTCAGGTGGCCAGTTGCAATTTTGTTCCTGTTCCATGAGAAAGTCCACGCTCTGCCATACCAGCTCCCGATCTGAGGGCTTGAGATGCTCATGGTAAGAAAGAAGCATCTGAAGAATAGACGACAATCCATGAGCTGCCCCTGTATGAACAAACAAGGCATAAAATTCACACAATTGGGAGGACAGCTAGTTTGATTTAGTGAAAAGATCGACAGGATAAAAAACGATAATGCCAATATTACTTGAAAGCTCATATAGCAATGTGATAACTAAGTTGCCTAAGAACTAGGCTTCTAGCAAACTATAGCTTGCAGGCCAAATATGGCTCACTGCCAGTTTTTCTAAATAAAGTTTTATTAAAGAATAGCCATGCTCATTCACTTGCATATTTTCTATAGCTGCTTTCTGGCTACAACAGCAGCATTGTATTTGTGACAGAGACCATATGGCCCAGAAAGACAAAAATATTTACTCTCTCTAGCCCTTTACAGAAAGTTTTCTGACCAATATCTGTTTTAGAAAAGAGATCTTTTCAAACTTTGTAATTGAAATATCAGTAGCTTTCATGAAAATGCTCCTAAAATGCTTGAAAATAATTTGGTCTAGGTATCCTAAACATTTATTCTTTTATTCATTCATTCAACACACAAGTATTAAGCATCTACTCTGTACAAGATACTGTTCTAGGTACAGAGGATAGATCACTGCACAAAACAGACTAAATCCCTCATTTGTAATGTTAACACTAGTTATTGATATTCATTTACTTAATCCTTTACATTTAGCACTTGCATATTAGGCACTGTCTAACCCTGGTTATACAGATAAACATGATTTGGTTGACACCCTTGAAGACCTTTCCATCCATTCCAGTGAGATGGCCAGATTTGTAAATAAATAATTAGAACATGAGGTGATAAGTGCTCTGTGAGAGATGGGTACCAGGGGTATGATGGTTAATTCTGTGTGTCAACTTGACTCGGCCATGGAGTGTCCAGATATTTGGTTAAACATCACTTCTGGGTGTGTCTGTGAGGGTGTTTCTGGATAAAAATAACATTTGAACCTATTTGCTGAGTGAAGCACATTACCCTCTCCAATGTGGGTGGACCTCATCCAATTCACTGAAGGCCTGAATAGAACAAAGAGTCTGAGTAAGAAAAAATTAGTTTGTCCTGCCTGACTGTCTTTGAACTGGGAATTGGCCTTCTCCTGCCTTCAGATTTGGACTCAAACTGGAACTTATATACATTATTGGCTTTCCTGGATCTGGCTTTCTCAGCCTCCATAATCATGTGAGCCAATTCCTTATAATAAATCATTTAGTTATATAATAAATCATATTCTGTTTGTCTAGAGAACCATGACTACCACAAGGACTAATAGAAGGAATGGAGGAGAGCTTAACTTGGCCTCAGGGGTGGAGGGGATGCTAAAGGTTCCATACAGAGAGTGTCATCTGAGCAAAGTCTTGAGAATTCCTAAGATAATTCTGAACTGGCAATGGGTATTGAACTAGCAAAGTCCTGAACATGCCTTTGGAAAAGAAGTTAGCTTAACAAAGGTAAAAGTCCAGTCCCTCTAGGATTTTTCACTCATTCCCAGTTAGTAGAATCCTGATTAGTGGGTGGTACTAGGGTCAATATATTCTGATGGCTTGCTCTTTAAACTCAACTCTATAATTTTAAAGCTTTGTTTTTGCATTCAGGCACCTTTTACTTTGCCATACTCAGAACTCTTGACTCCCCGGAAACAGTTTTACAGTTTGTATTCAGTCAAAATTTCTATTGCTCTTAAAATTTGATCATGAAATTTGAAAATATCTTTATTTTGCTGGATTTGAAATTGTTGGGGAAAAAAAGATTGCTTTTCAGGAAAATATTTATGCACTAGATACAAATCTAGTTTAAGCTATATATGTAAAAAGCCAGAATGTTAATTTCTCTAAAGAAAACCTGAAAAATATTGGGAGGCTGAGGTGGGAGGATCACTTGAGCCAAGAATTCAAGGCCAGCCTGGGCAACATAACAAGACCCTGACTCTATAAAAAAAAATTTAAGGATAAAAATTTGACCAGGCATAGTGAAGCAAGCCTGTAGTCCTAGTTACTTGGAAGGCTGAGGCAGGGGGATCACCTGAGCCCAGGAGGTCGAGGTTGCAGTGAGCTATGATCACACCACTGCACTCCAACCTGGGTGACAGAGGGAGACCTTGTCTCAAAAAAATAAAACCAGAAAAATGAATGGAATAGATTAGGGGACTATAGCAGAAACTGTCAGTGCCCTGGCTCATCACCTCATCTACACTCACCATTCAGATGCCTCTTTGTTCCTGCTTCATATCTCAAGCATCTATCATTTTGCCTGAGGCTTTCTTTGGCCACAGGAGCATGCCCTGCCCAAAGGGGCAGGACAGAATTGCTAGGGAATTAACACCTCTAGGAGAAGCCAATCAATAAAGCAGAGAGTTGGTGGAAGAATACCCCAGCTTCTTCACCCCTTGGGTGAAACAATTCTGAGACGTGTTCTATAAAGTCTTTAAGATTCCCTAGGGAAACTGAGCCTCAGTTGTCCACAGTTGCTCATTATTACACACTCAATTAGCTTCTTTCTCTTTCTTGTCTCATTTCTCTGCTCCTCTATCAACACTTTCTGAAATTACCTTTCAAATAAACCTTTTACACCCAAATCCTTGTCTCGGGGCTTGATTTTGGGGAGACTTAAACAGAAATATAAAATTTCTTTGAGAAAACTCATTGAAGTTGTTTATTAGCTATTCGTTCATTCATTTGGGTTCCCTAATTATGTGCAAGCTCTGTAGTGAGGTCTAGGAATCACGAAGATAAATGAGAGAAAGTTCCCATCCTGAAGGTGCACAAAGCCTGCTTAGGCAGTTAGGCAGGTAAGCCACTAATTACAGTGTAATAAGGGCTCCAACAGAAGTATGCGCAGGATGACAGCATGTTACCCAGTTTTGCTTTGGGAGAAAACCTGAAACTTGTAAATATTTCTCCAGAGAGGATTCAACAACCCTTCTTCCAAAAGCACAGAACACTTTTCAGCAGATTAATGATGTTTGAGCAGAGTCTAGAAATCTGGGTATAATTATTACAGATTAGATAAAGGGGTTGGGGGAAGTAGGGCATTCTAGGCAAAAGGAACATGGACAAAGGTAGAAAGAGAACACTGCATGTGGGAGACTATGCTGGACAGAACCTGGAGGGTAAAGATAAAGCTTGAGTCTAGAGAAAGAGGCAGGTGGTCCATAAAGGGCCTTGCAAATCTTGCTCAATAGTAATGGTGAGGCACTGAAGGACTTAAAAGAGGAATAACTAATTTCTTTTTTTTTTGCATGGCCCAGAGCTCACCATTAGCCATTACAATGCAGTAGTCTGTTATAAATCCACTACTATTAAAAACTTTAAAATGTTAGTGGCTGAATCCTACTTTTCTATTCAGAGGCACTACTTTCAATCGTGTGTGAAAAGTTTTCACAATGTTTCAGCAAAATTAGGCCAATGAGCTTACAATCTAAAATAAAGATATTAGTCTTGAGTGAACGTAATTGTTGAAATAGCTACATTTCTGTCAGGTAGACTATGAAAATAAATATTAACTTGTGATTTGTGTTATCTATCAGTATAGGTTTTTGAAGAACATTTTAAAATATTTCTTATTAAATGAATCGTAATGACCTATGGCCAAACAAAATCTTCCAGCCTTTATTCCGTATTAATATTAGAGACTTTCTCCATCCTAAAGGCCCATGCCAACACCTTTACTTACCCAAGTATTCAGTTCCATAGTAAGAATACATCAGGGGGAATGGTTTCCTCTTCTTTATGGCATACTGCTTCCCAGAGTCCAGAATTGCCTGGCAAATTGACTTGATCTGTGCTGGAGTCAGCACCTGAATAAGGAAATCCAGAAGTAGAAGTCAAAGCAGGATCTCCTTTTTCCTTAGACACTGAATTTTTTTGCTTAAGAAGCCTAGCATCATATCCACAGAATCCTGTACTATATGTAAATAAACTTAGTCAACCACAATTTATTCTTTTTTTTTTACCACTGATTCTTCCTTTGTTGTCAAGTCGTCAAATCTGCCCTCTTTAGAAAACTTGCTATTTCGGTGGAAAACACACAACTTTATTGCTATAGGTTGCTATAAAATACAAAGACTACCTTATGGTTGTTATATCATTAATCCTTGTCACAGGAACAAGGATTTGCTCAGAAAAGAACAAATAGTCCTAACTGATTATGCTTAATAAAGCTGTTACTCCTGGTGTACGATGTAGGTCTGGCCCAAACAATGGATCTTCAATTTGTGGTATTTAGACTGTGCTTATAAAGACTGTACTTATAAAGCCATGATTCTGTGATAAGCTGCAGTATGACGGACTCACTCTAGGCATTTGTACTACCTCAATGAAACCAAAGTCCAATAGTGTCAACACAAAATAACTTCTAACATCAAAATGACTCTGAATAGAGAATGGCTAAAATGTAATGACTTGTAGTCTTCCATGTTTTATTCAATCTGTCCAGTAGGTTTTAGGATTATAGACATTAAAAGGTTCTCAAGCCTTCAAAGCATCATTGCATTTATTAAGATTCTGCTCAGGTTAGCCATGTGTTTTGTATCCTGCCCTTCCTGGGACAAATTAGATGTTCCCTTTGGCACACTCCCTTTATGACAGTGACATTTGCTCTGGTGCACAGCACTGTTGTGTTAGATCTCTCTCTGTTGTGTTAGATCTCTCTCTGTTGTGTTAGATCTCTCTCTTTCTCTCTCACTAGACTATCGGTTTTTTGAGAGCAAACACTGTGGCACCTCCTAATTTTGGTATCCGTGGTGCCTAACACAGAATTTGAGGGGGGTCCTTCACAGCTGATGAGTGAGTAAATAAGTGACAGGTTAACTGGTATGAGATTCAGAGCCCTCCCTCCCTTTGCTCTTTATTCCCTTCCTCCCTCCTTCTCTCTTTTCCTCCCCTCTGCGATTGTTCCTTAAGCGCCTACTACATTCCAGGCAAGATTGTTCTGGATGCTGGAGATATGACAGTGAGCAAGATAGATAGGACCTGTGCTCTCATGAAGCCAATCTTCCCAAAAGGTAGACCTGCACAGGAAAGGTACTGGTCAGATTAACCAAAACTAAAAAACATCTAAGTTTAGTCTGATTGAATGAATCTGGGATCAATAAAAAGTCCGTTGGATTTTGGCCTCTCTCCTAAAACTGGCACGTTTAATTTTCCTATCCAATATCCAGCATTAGACCAGCCAATTCCTTTTGAAATAAGTTTCTAATGATTTAATTCATAAATTGCTCCTCTGATTTACCTGGTATTAGAAGGAAAAAATATAATCTGGTTTTGGTTTCCCAAAATCTAGCATTTAATTTGGAAAAATAATTACTTCATGAGGGCACCATTTATTAATTCTGCCAATTAACATTTACTGAGCTACTATTCCAGTAAGGTACCACAATAGGTGTTGTGGAGAAAGTCAAGAAACCATAAGACATATTTTTTCCCTACAGGGAAGTTACCATCCAGCACTGGAGATGAGATATAGACAAGAGTCTACAATAGAGCAACTAAAGCTCATGAGCCTAGAGATAGAAAGAAACTTTCTCCTCTTTTTTTTTTTTTTTCCTGTTTGCTGAAATAATGATGTCATGGCTTTCAACTTAAATTTCCCTTTTATGAACCACTCTCTCTGTCTCTTAAGTTTACTCCTCCTAACATTCCCGAAGACACTATCTTCCTATGCGGCATCCCCACTGTCCTATCATATCAGCTCCAAGTCTTCTTTCCTTAGCTTAATAGCAACTTTCTCCTAAATGATTGAATACACACACCCATTCAAATTGCTACCAGAATTTTCATTTGCTGTTGAAAACATTTACTCTTTGTGCCTTTATCAGTGCCAACTGATCTTAACTACTTAAAATCTTGCATCATCATTTGTCTCAAATCAACCCCTCTTTCTCAGAAACCTGCTAAAACCCCTGAAGGGCATGCACTTAATAGGACTCTATCCTGATTGAATCCCATAGTCTTCTGGGAATATATTCTGGCTCTGCTCAATATTGATTTTGAATCCATATGACAGAGGCAGTTTTTGTGGTAGGAAGCAGTCACTGAATTTGCAGGGATGTATTCATTTGCATTACTAAAATTTTTCCTATTTGACTTTCATGCCTATAACTGAAAATTGGCTTATTATTTCCCCAGTTGAACATTTATTCATATGTTATGTGTGTGTGTGCATGTCTGTGTACGTGTGTGTTTGCCTGCTTATTTTTAACCCAGAAAAAAATCAACTTATGCTATATGTGGTGCCATCTCCCTTTCTTTCTATCCTGAATCCACAGCTTAGAATAGGGAAAGAGTTTATAAAATATTATTTCAAAACCTCCGATGGTCATGCATCATGTCTGGGTGGTTTCCTCTTATCTCTCAGAAACACTGTGAAAAACAAAGAGAAACCAGCGCTTGTTCAGCTGGATAGAGACCAGTTATGCATGCAGTTCTTTATCTCTGGGAACAGACAAGACCTACCCTTCAGCTTATTGATCAGCAAATAAAAACTAGAAACACAGCCCATTAAAAGCCTGTGTGTGGGGAACACTGAGGAAGAGTATTTTTCGCCCCTGAACAAATAGTACAGAAAGAAGAAGGGAGTTGAGATTCTGGGGTAAGGGCTTGAGCTTCTTCTCCTGTGTGTCTGCTTTCTCAAAGATCCCTCCAGTCTCTAGTACACAGGAGCACATGCATGAGCACACCCACTGCCTCCAAGAAGATGGCCTATATGCTTTTGAGACACTCTGAGATCCTGGGAATGAGGGAGCAGCATTTCCAGTGGGGGAACAAAAATGACTAGGAATGGCAGAGAGGGACTCCCTGGCCATCAGGCCTTCACCAAAACAAACCCAAATTATTCCCTGTCCTGTAGTTGTAGCCCCTAAGATCAAGGCATTTGTTGATATTTTGGATGGAATACGTTCTTTTCTTTTTACATTGAATTAAAATAAATGAAGATATCTCAAAAATACAAAGCAAATCTGAGGTGGTTTGGTTTAAATTATTTTCTTTAGTTTAACTGATTCACTTTACTGACCTTGTGAAATATTCCTATTGGTTTGGCCTCTGAGTATGAAGAGACAAGAGGGCAATAAAGTTCATACTATATTTCTTGGCCCTGCCTGAAAGTCATGTTATGACTGAACTACCTCCATGCAGAGGAGAGATGACTTTCTTTTTTAAAAAGTGAATAAAGAGACCAAACCACCATTGACTCTTTCCCAAGGCAAGAGTCCTACCTACAGCGCCTCTGAAGTGGCAGTCATTGCTAGCTATATTTCTTTTTCTAGGCATCAAACACCTCCTGCCCCTTCCCCATCAGCATTGATTGAATACGCGAATAGCAACTAAATCTTGGGTGTGCCAGTGTCCTAAGGCATACTATGCCAATCAAATTCCTCCTCTCAACAATTTGAAATGCATGTTCAAAAAAAAAAAAAAATGAAGCTGTCAGTATTCCCAGCTGCTGCTGAAGACAGGTCAGGAATGGGCCCATGCATAAACTGAGGTCAACAGGGAGTAAGCAGGGGCTGTGAAGGAGAAAAACAGAATAAACCACCCAGCAGTGAGAATGAAAGGAGACTGGAGCAGATATGCTAAGAGAAACAATGATACCAAGAGAGAAAGTTAGAGGAAAGTAGAGAAAAATAGCTCCCTCTTCCTAACAGTTTAGGGCTACTCCCTTTAGGGCTTCCTGCCAATTTTCCATACTATACCCACCCCCATACTCCTTCCCTTTCCCTTTAATCATTTGAGAGTCTCAGTTTCTTGCAAAAAGAGCCTAATTAGAATAGACATGAATATAAAGCCAAACCTTTCATTTGTCACTTCATCCCTCACATAAACAATCAGCTTTCCTACCTACCATACTAGATCCTTTCAGTCAAAATAACAAAGATATCTGCATCTAGGGTGCATGATAAGGTACATGCAAAGACTCTCTGGGCATGGGACCCAGCATTGGGATTTTTTTTTTTTTTTTTTTTTTCCCTGAGACAGAGTTTCACTCAGTCACCCAGGCTGGAGTGCAGTGGCACGATCTTGGCTCACTGCAACCTCTGCCTCCTGGATTCAAGCAATTCTGCCTCAGCCTCCTGAGTCACTGGAATTACAGGTGCCCACCACCACACCCGGCTAATTTTTTGTATTTTTAGTAGAGATGGGGTTTCACCATGGTTGGCCGGGCTGGTCTCAAACTCCTGACCTCGGGCGACCCGCCCACCTCGGCCTCCCAAAGTGCTGGGATTTCAGGCGTGAGCCACCGCTCCTGGCTGGGATCTTTTTTAAGCTCCCCAGTGGATTACAAAGAGTGGTCAAGGTTAAGAACTACTACCATAAAATACTAAGTGAATACAAAAATAGTTTTTAAAATCAAAGTAATAATAATATAATGTAATACAATATAATAATAATGATGATGAAGAGGAGGGCTAAAGGGAAAACTAGCAAAAGAACTCCCAGGTATAAAGAAACTCCTTTGGTCTGAGTCATGGAGGACTCAGAATATCTGTCCAGTCTTAAATTATCTGTCCTCAAACTTCTGTCAGTAGCCCATTTGAGACCTCTGATATCTCTAAGAGATATCTGCTCCTCAAAGTGTGGTCCATGGACCAGCAGTAAAGGTATCCTGATAGAAATTCAAATTCCCAGGCCCCAGACCAGACCCAGTGAATTAGAAACTGAATTTTATTTGTTTTAATTTATTTTTTATTGTTTTATTTTACTTTAAGTTCTGGGATACATGTGCAGAATGTGCAGGTTTGTTACATAGGTATACGTGTGTCATGGTGGTTTGCTGTACCTATTGACCTGTCCTCTAAGT